CCCATCAGAGGGCATCTAGCAAGTGGGCGGTCCAACTGGGTGGGCGTTAGAACTAGAACTTTCAGCGGCTGTAGCTCGCTGTGGAGTCGCGAGAGTGGGACAGTCTCTAGCTTGGGTGCGCAAGTATGGACGGCCAGGTACTACTTGAGCGCGGGGCTGTCTTTAAAGGCAGTTGGCACGATAAATCCTCCAAGACGAGCAGGACTAATACGCCTGGCAGGATTCCGCGACCCTGAGCAGGCGCTGCATAATGCCTTTTCCAGGGAAGGTGCCCTTATAAGGGCGCTATCAAGCCACAACTTTACGTCCCAAACGCCCGCCACGCCCGCCCGCCCACAAATGGACGACTGTTCCAGACGCTCTAATTGATTCATTTGCTAAGCAAATTATGCGGCCGTGATGCTGCATGGATATATGAGTACACATATGCAGCCGTACCTTCGGTAGCGGTTATTGGCAAGATACGGGAAACTCGTCCAAAATTGATTACTAACACAGTGAGAACGGAGGCTCTTTTTTCGCAGGATTTTGACCGTTTCACTCCGTTCTTTCGCCATTTCCCCACTATATAGCGCCCTACTAGCATTTTAGGCCGAGCACCCAATCATCTCAACTGCCTTTGAGGCGCAAATAAGCAAATCCTGCTTTGACAGTGAAAAAATTCCATTTTGGGAAAAAAAACTTGAATTCAAAAGTACTTTTCAGCAGATCGCGAAGCCGCGGAGATCGCGAAGTCAGACCCGTTTGGCTCCTTTAGGGAGTCAGAAACATCTGCCGGATGTCTATTTCGAGTTCCGATGGATGCACGCACTCATTAAAAATCAGGTGACTTGCTTTAAATTACTCTAGAATAGCTTGTGGTTTTTTATTCTACTTCCTTTATTACTTTTTATTGTAGGAAAAGCTGCTCAGCTTATTTGGAGATTGTACGTCGTAGTGATTATATAGGTTCTTCGGCGCCGCTTATCAGGTGGAAAGGAAAAAACTGTTACTTTTTCGAACACAGTTTCTACGCCGCCCTCCCCAGCAGAATTATTATCCCTTCGCTGTATTTTTAAACAGCGGGTACTGCGCGCTGGTTGGGAGGCACGCCAGCAAGTCTTAACATGCTGGATGGTCGATCAATGGACGACTTCCGCTGGCCCGCCACCTCTTACCGCTTTGGCACTTATCAATCGGTCCTACTCTAGGCCTGCAATGTATGTCGCACAAAATAAGTACTAGATCTTCATCATCGTCATCTTGTCCTGTGTTCGACATAGAGATGACTACCACTGGCTCAAAAACAAACTATCTTACCGAAGGAGGGGCCGTCACCAGGATACGGTAGGCAGCTACGCTTACCGTACCCGTATGGACCGCTCCAGCACGCCCTCCAGCATCTTATTGATAGCTGAGAAAAAACTCGCTTGCAAAACTGCGAACAAGTTTTTACAACAGAATTTCAGCAAGCGCCGAGTAAGCTGAGTAAAATGATAGTTCTACCAAATAGTAAAATCTGTCTGTTGCGGGTTATTAAAAACGTAAATAGTTGATACTTACATTATGAAGTTTTCCAAAGTGCATAATCGAATTTCAGAAGAATAAGTCGCAACGTGAACTGCCGAGCGAGCTTGGTGGCGCTTCTGAAAAAGCGGCTGGAGGACCGTCAAGTCCAACTGGAGATCCGCCAACTCATAGAGCAGATGATCTCATGAATTCGGCTGCGGAGGCGAGTAGAGAGCCGTCAGTTGTTTGGCCCGATGACTTACTTAGGAACGAAAGTGGAGATGCTTCAACGGTGGGGAATAATGGCTGCCCGAACACGCTCGAGAGGCGAAATGCAGAAACTCTAACCGCAAGTTTGAATGAGCCCTTGAATGCACCAGGGAATGTCGCTAAAGAACGTTCCTTAGTGAGCCAGAACGATCACAAGGAAATATCTGAGAAGCCACTGACTGAAGAATGCACAATTACGAGATTGGTTGAGAGCCTGAACCCTGGTGGGAGCGACGCTAAATATTCTACAGCGGCAATAGGCAGTCAGAGGAATGTAGAGAACGAGAGCGCAGCCGAAGAGCGATCAACCCTCAGTCAGAACGACATATGGAGCTCCCCTGGAAGCCAAAATGGAGGATCGTCTTACGTCACCTTAGACGAGATCGTAAGGTCACCTGATGCTGTTAGTGTAGAATCGACATATGGAACGCCTGAACAAAGGACAAGTTCATCTACCGTTACAATCCAGGATTCGTCAACTACAGCCTCCGACACGTTTCTCGAATCACCTGAACGCGGAAGTAGAGAATCGTCGTTATGTTCGTCATACGAGATGCAGATGGCATCTGAAAGCACAGCAGAAGAGCTCTCCTTGCCGAATATGTCCCCATCAGGAAGTCCAACTAAAGCGCCATCAACTGTTGTGCCTGAAGAGTCAGAAGTACCAGAGGACGTGAACGACGAACCTCTAGCACGAGAAATTGTTGGTTAGTGGATTTTATTGCTCAGTAATGTTCACAAATTGATTTTTTTCATTGCCGTCATTTCTATGTACATAAGGCAAAGAGGGGCCTATTCAGACGATGGGCTCTCACTTGTTGTTGGCTCTTTTCCCTGATCACCTCAATTTGACCATCGGAAATGAGAGCCAGTAGCGGAAACGACTGCACCGAGAGGAAACCTCAGAAAAAATTGGGCTTCGCTGTTGAAAGTGCGCTGAGAGTTGGCTTCGAGCGCGTCGCGCTTTCCTCACGTAATTCTGGGTTGCGATAGTAGTATATCCTCCGGCTCGCGAACAAGGCTACTATTTCCAAAGAGGCCGTCTAAACATGAAATTAATGCGGAGCTGCGTTCAGGACATACTAGGGTGTCCCAAAAAAATCGTGACATTTGGACAAGTGGACATTAGGATTGAACTACCGCTTCTGCCCTTTCTG